ACTCATGAGTTTAATTCTCATTTTTGCTAATATAAGACATTAATAAGAAATTTCTTTTATTTGATAGTAAAAATATTTACTCTTTTCATTTTTTTTTTTTTTAAACCAGGGGAATTGGGGGAAGGGGAGGGAGAATGGAGAACGAGGGGTATAAACTCCAGTGGCCAAGCCACACATTGGGGTTCTATTTACTCTTTTCATTAAAGTAAGTAGATGTAGTTTTTTTAATTAAATAAAAATATAATAATAATAAATTAATTTTATATTTATCTCTAATTAATTATCATTTAAATAAAATTTTTACTTAATATATGTTATAATTATTATTTTTATATTTTAAATTATATAACATAAGGTAATTATCTCTTACATTTTAATATTACCTCATCCAAATATCATATAATTAAAATTTAAAATTTTTTATTTTTATAAAAAAAATTATCACTGAATTATTTAAACTATTAATATATTATAATTATTTGTTAAAAATAAAAATAAGTATATTAAATGATATAAAAAATTAAATTTAAATATTTTTTTATTAAAAATCCAATCTAATAAAATAAAATAAAATTAGTAAATATCTTTATTGAATAACCAAGAATCATTAATACTTTCTTAATACTTTTATAACGTGGGTGTCTATCTTTGGACAAATCATTCGTACCGAAAAAAACCAAACACCAGTAATTAATTAATCAAGCATCGATATAAAAAATAGAAGCATGCGTCTTTCTCTCAAAGCCTCTAAAATTTCCCCTCCCACTCATTCTCTCACTTTCCCCAAAGAAAAAAGGAAGACGACATGAGGGCGCAACGGCAGCCGATCCACGCGGTATCGACATGGGTGAAGCATCAACCACCCAAAGTCAAGGCCTTTTTGGCGGTGGTGACGGGTATGGCTGCGCTCGTTCTCCTCCGTTTCATTGTACACGACCACGATAACCTCTTCGTCGCCGCCGAGGCCGTGCACTCCATAGGAATCTGCGTGCTCATCTACAAGCTCACCAAGGAGAAAACTTGTGCCGGTAATGTCCAAGCTACGATTTTTTCCCCCAAATTTTGTGTCTCCATATGAAATTGCCTTTTAATCTGTTTTTGGATTGGATTATTAACTGAATATCTTTTCTTGCTTCTGATCGGTTTGGTTGTCTTCTTTTGCTTGAATTCAATGCATAGAGCTTCTGCTTCTGTTCAATTTTTTTTTTTTTTCGTTAGATTATATGAGGTCATGATTCGTTAGGGAAATTGATTTTTTAATCCTTTTTATCATTATATTTTTGGTCATGATTGATTGGTTAAGTTTTTAATTCTTTTTAGAAATATATCTCATTACTTGAGTAAGCTTTGTTATTAATGCTGATATGGTCAAATTCAACAGAATGTTGTTGTTGATGTCAGATGGACTGCTGCCCATGCAACTTAGGTTTAGATTGTGATTTTCTGGAGGATCCATAACTCTATTGCAGTATGCATCTCGGTTATCATTATGAGCCTCCTACCGTGATTAACTTGTACTGAAATTTTACTTCAAATGGTTTGCAGGACTATCACTCAAATCCCAAGAATTAACAGCTATGTTTTTGGCTGTTAGGCTGTACTGCAGCTTTGTCATGGAATATGATATACATACCATACTTGATTTAGCCACATTGGCCACAACCTTGTGGGTTATTTATATGATCCGCTTCAAACTGAAGTCTAGTTACATGGAAGACAAGGACAACTTTGCAATATATTATGTGGTGAGTTTTCTTCAGCTGTATGAACTTTTTTTAAGCCTCCTCTATTCTATGGAGTTTATTCCTACAGTGTATCTGATTAAAGATAAATTCTTTTAGCTCTGACTACTATGTTTTATATCTTTCTTTTTATATCTTTCTAAGTCAATAGCTGTGTTCACATCCATTACATGTCTTGTGAAGCTATAAGACTCTTGATTGAAATGTTGTTGGTACATTATTAACGATGGTTTGTATCAAGTTCATGTCTCCTTCATATGGAGCTGAATTAGCTTCGATGTTGATATTAATGGTTTTGGAGGCAAATCAGTAATTTGTTTCTTCGTTTTATAACAGTGTTTCCATATTTTTAAGTTCAAGACTAATCTGTAAAGTTACATCTTTCTTTGGTCTCATTGTTATTTGTTGAGCAAGGTCCTCTAAACTTCCTTCAACTTCTTCCTTTCTATTTTGATGCTGTCTAATATATGTTCTTCAACCATTGGTATCTTGTGATTTGTGACTAATTGAAAAAGGTTTATGGCGTTCTTATGCTGTCAAACATGTGATGAAGGTCAAATCCATAACTAATTAACTATGTTCTCCTTTTCCTGCTGAATTCTCCATGTAAAACAGTTTTTTGTTTCTTTTTCAAGCTAATATCATTTTCTTTTGAATTTGTTCACAGGTTGTACCTTGTGTTGTGTTAGCTCTGTTCATTCACCCATCAACCTCTCACCATCTATTGAACAGGGTTTTCTGGGCATTCTGTGTATATCTGGAAGCAGTTTCAGTGCTTCCCCAGCTGCGAGTTATGCAGAACACAAAGGTACTTATAGTTAAAGGCCTATCAAAATTGGACTTGAAGTTCATTTTTCCTTCTGTAACTTATCTTCCTTTTTTGGCACTTTCAGATAGTTGAACCATTCACTGCTCATTATGTGTTTGCATTGGGTATTGCAAGATTCCTCAGCTGTGCCCACTGGGTCCTCCAGGTCTGATCTCCTGAATTTTGAATTTGTATATTTGGTTTGTTTACTTTTGAAATGTAAGTTCTACATTGAACATTGAATATGGAACTATAGAGTTTTAGATAACTTAGGCTGCACAATAAATGGAATGAGGTCAGATTTGACATCTAGCTGTGGATTGATGCCTGTTTATTGGGTTAGCCATGGTTCTTGCTTCTTGCTTCTTGCTCTAAGTTGTGATTGATTCACGTTTATCGAGTTACCCACATAATTGTGTCAAAGAGAATTCCTGAAGAGTTATTCACTATGTTTTTGTAATTAAGGCATGTTTGAACTCAAGGCATTAACAATCTGCTGCTAACTTGTTACCTCTGTTGCTTATCAGGTTCTAGATAGTCGAGGTCACTTACTGGTTGCCCTGGGCTATGGATTATGGCCTTCTATGGTTCTTATCTCAGAAATTGTTCAAACCTTCATTTTAGCTGACTTCTGTTACTACTATGTTAAAAGGTTCGTTGCAAACTGTGTGTGAAACACATGCACATAAATCTTATGACCCATCAGATTATTTATTTACAAATATTTATTCTTTGCATTGCAGTGTCTTTGGAGGACAGCTTGTCCTGCGGCTTCCCTCTGGAGTGGTATGAGTCAAACATCCTCTTTTCTTGTGATGGATGGGCTTACGGCCATTAAAACAACAAATCTATGACAGATGTGGCTTTTCTGAGGTGCGGGTTTTTACCCTGGACCGTCTCTGTTGTCACTATCATTACTGGAATTCTGGAAGCAGTTGGGTTGTTTGTAAATTTAGGGTTGCAGGAAAACTTGGGTGGATATATTTATATTGGAATCATAGTTTCGTTCACCTTTAGTTTAATTGGAAAACACCAATCTTCACTTAATTATTACAGACTTGTGCATCCAATTTAGTTTGCAACAATCGATTAGAGAGTATACCATTGTTAAGACTGTCAGATCCCTTCCCTTGGGATGGCTAGTGTGCCCCATTCCCTTGGGGTACAAGAAACACCAGGTCAGCATGGGGTTAGTAGCCATTAAATATATGATTTAAGTAGGATGGACTGCCCAGGACATCCTGTTGTATTCTTTCTCTGTTAACAACTCGTCAACTTTCCTCAGAATTCCGATCTGAGCCTAAGCTCCCTGTTCAGACTCCAGCTTGAAGCTAATCCCTCTTTCCACTGGCCTCCATCTATAATCTTTTTAGTGTCCAGCAAGAAATTCTGGGTTGCCATGTGAATTGTGAAGCTCAAACAGAGGCTTTTCAAGTCCCTACATTTAATTATTGATTTTGTACACTTACAGCTAGAGCGTATCAGATTACATTTCCCACAAAATCTAGTACAACCAAGCCATCAATATTGGGGATAAGGAAATCATGAAGAAAAGCCAAAGCTAATATGCATTTAACTGTATTAATGTCACAAAATTAAAGTACCTCTCCACACTATGAAATCTTGCTGTTTCTTTTATATTGTGCATCCACTACTGCGAACATCTTATGGGATAAAGAATTACGTGCCCTTTTGTCACACATTTTTACAAGAGATGAATACTGAGGAAGCTCAAGTCAAAGTTCAGACAGGCACTTTCCATTGATAAATTCGATCACTTGGTTAACTGCCTGGTCAAGTGCAGCAGTGACTGTAGCCAAGTTCTGCAAGAATTCCTCTGCGGCTGGTTTGTCAGCATCCACTACATCTGTAACTGCTTTAATGAATATTGCAGGGACTTTCAAGAGATCAGCCACATAGGCAATAGCTGCCCCCTGAGACAAGATTCAATAATAAGGAACAGTTAATGCATCGTGCAGCACAAGGAACAAATCTTTCTGCATGAATCATTTACCTTCCCTTTCATAATGACAGACCTTTAGACCAAGTTAAGCAACAACTAGGCACAATGGCTGTCAACTGCTAAACAAATATCTAATATACAGCTTTTACAAAAGAGTTGATGTTTCTATCATTAGATATTCATTTTCCAGGGGTCTTTCATGTAAGAAGCATTAACATGAGCACTAGTATATTAAAGAATAATTATCAGTTACTTGATATTTATATTTGTGCTGCCAGTTTCCTAATACTGCATGCTGTGTAGTGCAATTATGATACCATTTAACGAAGGATACTAACAGCACTATAAAACAATCCATGGTAAACAGGATTGCAATGACCTTCTTCTCAACCTGTTCATTAACATATTGAATGGTCAGCAATTATTACCTCCATGTCTTTGACTGTTGCATCATTGGCCGTGATTGCTGTTTCATCATGTGGTGACATATCCAGAGAGTCACCAGTAGACAACCTGCCAACCTGAAACATAGAAAGGGTATCATGGACCTTGCCTATGTGTTTGTTTTTGAAAAGGAGGGAGGGATGCAGATTGAAAATGCATTGCACCTCAATAAGAAGAGAAATTTGACAAGAAAACTACCACGAAGAGAGCATATGTAAATGTAAAGCACAGTAATCACCTTTAGGTTAAGCTCCTTCAACAGATTGGGTGTTGAACAGGCCTGCCGCTGACCAACTCCATAGAGATCAAAGACCTATTAAACAAAATTCAGAACAAAACTATTACTAAAGATCTGCAAAGACAACTGAAGTAATATGCTTTTATAAAGCATGAAGCAAATTTAGGAAAGAGGAAGAAATACAATAGGAATTTAGATAAGAGGAAAATAGAAAAAGAAGTTGCTAGCACAGAATGCAGGGTGAAACGATTCAAATGAAGAATCTCTAGTGAGTTGCAGTGTCCATACAGCAGTTCATGTTGCTTTATAAATATCACACACACACACACACAAAAAAAAGAAGTAATGATTACATTTTTCAAGGATGACATATTATAATTATCAATTTGAGATAGCTAGAAAGAGAATATCCAACAAGTAACTGCTTTCTTATCACCTTTTAGAATATGATTATAGTAAGTAGCAATAAAATATTCACATCCCCAACCACAGTAAGTAAGCAGGGTAAGTTAAAACATAGATGTTTAAGGAAAGCTCACAGGAATGGGTATTCTTCTATCATGAAAAGCAACATGAGATGCCAGAAAAACATCGCCAATGCCTGCTCCCTTTGCCTGAAAGCACCAAAATATTACTATGTAAAGTATTAAATTAGAAACAGGAGTCTAAGCCAGAGTCTTCTTCAAAAGTGGAGCACAATCTTCCTGAAATAGTCAAAAGTCTGAAAGAAAACAAAGGTGAATTTACATGGCAGATTATCATCATTAACTTTTAGCCTAAAATTGCAAACTCTATTGCAGAGGAACAAGAATAATTATCAGCATTGCAGATAAAATCATGTTCAAGATTCTAAAAACAGAATAAGAAGAAGGAAAGCAAAACTTTGCCATTGAGACAACCTAGAGGGCAAACAAACCTTAAAGCCACCAGCAGTTCCTGCATTTATGATTAGGTCTGGTTGCAATGCCTGGATAGCTGCAAAAGTCATCAGAGCAGCAGAAACAGTGCCAACACTATCAACCCCTGCAAAGAATTAACCAGCAGAATAATGGAAAAGAGAATAGAAAGAGTAACTATCATTCTTTAACCTGTTAGATATAAGTCTGACACAAAAGTGACAGAGGCATCTTGCATGAACAATGACAAACACACCAGGCATCTTCACTCACGCATTTAGGCTGGAATTATATGAACTACAAACACTATCTTAATAAAGACATAAAAAAAGGCCCTCTTGCTATGAGATCTGCTCAAAATACAGTGCTTTTCCCAAGAGCAGCCATATAATTGCCTGAGTATGAAACTTATTTTCCACAAGTTACTGAAGAATATTAAGCATAAGAGCATTGAAAGAAGAATATGTACAGAAGAATAAGATGCCTAATAACCAAAATACTTATGCCATCTCTTGCTTATGTACTAAACTAAAGCTCTTGAGTACTGAGTTTCTGTTGATAACTGTACAACACTAACAGCAAGAAATCAATTTGGAAAAAGAAGATTCAATAAGTGTGAGGAATTTGAGAGAAAAACGCTTACCCAAAGTTGAATCTTTTCCTGGCCAAACTAGATTTATATTAAGGTCTTTGTACACCCCATGGTATCGAACCCAAGGGACTCCTTTTGGGAACCTGCAGAATTGGGGGTTGACATACTGAATGCAACATACATAATACTCAAACTTAATCTGCTAGTTTTCGTTTAAGTGACTGGTGTCAGTTTCCAATACTATGTGCAGTCCAGTCCTAACTCCCTTCCCCCTGTTGTGTATTTTCTTGATCTAATGGGCGAGTACCCCTTGTACTCATTCTCTTAATAAAATTTTGATTTTGATTTATCAAAAAAATAATACTCAAACTTGAGAAATGAGAATAAAGCTTGTAAATTTCAGAGGCTTTATTAACAGCAATCATCTACTCTACCATTATAACACAATTAAGACTCAACACTTGGCTCTCTTTGATTTTATCTCATCCAGAATATAATTTCACTTTTCAAACATTAGTAACATGTTCAGTTCTACCAGCTTAGCCGAGTTGGTATGAACCAACTTCAAAACCTTAATTCTGGGTCAAGGTCAAGGGTTAAAACCTCTTAAATGCTAAGCACACTGACTTACAAAGTACCCAAAAAAGCGTGTGAAACTTCCTTCTAATTCATGAAAGAAAAGATTTTTAGTTAAAAGCGCCTTGTCAGTAGCTACAACTTAGCGACAAATTCATAAATATCAAATTAAGTAATCTTAAACCCTAATCAATAGCTCTGTGAAGAAATCACCAAAAGAATAAAATTCAGAAACTGACCCGGAATCTGGTTCTTCTTTCAGCTGGAATTTATTCACCACCGGCAAAGCTTCTGTTTTCATAGCTGCAACTCCAAACAAATGATCGCGTAAATACCCATTTCGAAGCTCACGATATACCTACATAGAAGATTGCAGGATAAAGAAGCAGAAAAGAGAGTACCGATGATGATGACGACTGTGGAAATACAGCGGCTGGTTTCGTCTTGCGCCACCACGGCTTCCTGCGAAGCCTCTGATCCGTCGCCGTGAGGAGCCATAGCTGTCGTAGTTTCGTCCCTCTCTGGAGTTTCCAATCACTGATTTTTCTACCGTTTTCCAGGATGATTTAACGAGAGACGAGACAACTCCACCAACTATAAAACCTTACGTTTCGCTATGTTTCTTCTTTCCAATTTTTTTTTTCCCCTTAAATTTTCTTAGCTAAGCGAGGAGTAAAAATCACTGGCCGTTGATTTCACTTGGCCCCACATGTATTTATTTATTTTTTGTTGTAGATTATTATTACTGGTGTATTTATCTATTTATTATGAGAATATGGTTTCGATTACTTAATCTATTAAAGAAAACCATTAACTATGATGAGGTGCTCTATTCTTTATTTAATAATTAATATATGAAAAAAAAATTTAAAAATAATTTTTATATTATTTTTAATATAATTTTATATATTTTTTAAATAATTAAATTTTTTTATTTATTTAAAATTTATAATATTAAGTACATATATTTATTTTTATATCAGTGCACTTAATATATTATAATGAAAAACCTTAGATATATCTATCACCAAAACACAATATTTAATGGATAGCAAAACATTAAAATTATTTACTAAACTTAAAAAAAGTTTTTTAAGTTTGGCTGTATACAAAAAAATTGTGACATAAAAATGATTAAAATACAAACTCTTTTTAATGTTTATTAATTAATAATAATTTATTAATTTATGTTCGAGTCTGCACTTTTAATCGTGTACTCTTTAGTGAAATACATGAAAATATCCATTGACATTTTTTATTTGGTTGAATTTGCTAAAAGTCCAGCCTTGGTTTTTTTCAGTAAAACCATCTTCCTTGAGACTTTTAAATTTTAACAGTTTAGCCTTGAGGTGATTAGCTGAAAACACAATCATTTCTCAGACAACAGGGCCCATTACAGCACATGAGATTCTTCTGTTTCATTGTTGATCCACAGCACAGACAAGCTTGGAAAACATACACATAATTCAATTCATATAAACTGTTCATATTCACAAGTCCTTGATGACCGAGAGGTCCATTGTGTCAGAGGACATCTGTAACATGAAATTGTCAAACAATAAGAGGCCCGTTTTGAAAACCTGTACAGAGATTTGGTATCTCATAACACCTCACCTCAGTATGGGATGTGTTGGCTTTCTATTAGCCAAGAAACTTGTGAAGGGAACATGGGATGTTGCGTCATAATCATCATGGGGATACATACAACAAAATTTTTTATTTACTCAAGACCATAAAGCTACAAATGTCTTGAAAGTAAAGAAAATCATTAGGAGGAATAAGGGGTGTGTAGGTTTGAAGCTGGAGATGCCATTTGGTAGCATCGGGAAAATGTCCGGAAGAGACATCTGACAGTTTTCACCATTGAAATATATTCTTCTAGGAAATGCCCATCCATTTCTCAAAGTAAATTATTCTTCACCCTTGTTCAGTAGTATCTCTGTGGTTTCTGACCCCAGTTGGTTTTCTTCAGAATGCGGTAATTCATTGTTGAAGTAATTTATCCCCCAAAACAAAACAACCTCATCTGCAACAACAATGGAAACTTAGGCTTTGTTCTCTAACTTCTTTATCGTTCAGCACTGAATTCAATGAAAAAATACCTGCAAGTCCAAAGGAGGGAAGGAGAGTGCTGTTGAAGCTGTATGTTGTTGAATCCTGGCTGAAGCCGGGGTGCTGAGCTAGCACATTCCAGTCTGTGTAGTTTCTGTTTAGATTGAAGTTGGTGATTGTGAGCTTTACCCTCCAATGCTTCACATAATTCTTCATGACATGCCAGTGAACTCGAACAGGGCACATGTGATCAGTGCATTGCACTAGGTCAGGACTATTTTTCATTTTTAACTGTGATATGGGCTGGAGTTGTCTGAGATCAAACAGATAGAAAGATTAGTGCTCTGTGTATTGCTTTGTTTCAGTCAGTGAGAAAAGTAAATCATGAGAATTGAACATACTTTATGCAGGCGAAAGTATTTTAGTCTGCTTCTCTGCAGCCACAGCTGCACATGGGGCATAGTGTGATCTTAGGATTGTAAAATGCTGAGAGTGAAACACAACATAGAGGTGCTTTGTTACCTAGAAAACTGGAATAAGTACATGTGGATTTCCATGTTGATTCAATGCATACTCACTGAAGACTTGAACTTGTCTTCTACCTCCAATATCTGAAGAGACTGTGGGATCAGTATCCTCAAGTTGGCCACAAGTGTAACCAGGACCAGGAGCCATTAAAGTGAGACTCTTAGGTGCTTGGACATTATTTGTGTCGCCAATTATCATTTCAAAGGAAGAGAATGACGCGACAGGGTTAATGGCCCAAGCAGCAAGAAGGCCACCACGGCAACAATTGTCTGACTTGTTTTCCCACAGGACATCTAGCATTAGATCAACAATATTAGGGTCTTTCTTACAAGAGTGTGGGACTTGGTCCTTGAATGATGAACGGTTTCCTCGTTGGGTGGCAAATGCACCAGACATTGACATGATAGCCTCATCATTTGCCCATGTCCAGCCTAGTTTCCATCCAGGGACATCAACATGGCAATACTGATAGTGATTCTGAATGGTTACCCTTGCCTGGAAATAAAACCATCTTAAAAAACAAGGAGATCGTATGAAGAATGCAGTGAAAAAACTTCTAGTATCTCTGAAAGCTAAAAAATTCTGATTCAGAAACTCTAGTTTCCAAAGTACATTTGGCTTCCTAATTTCTGTCAGGCCATCCTAAATTCTGAAAACTCATTTGATAAATGTCCTGTTTATTCAATCTTAGCTCTGCTAAATGAAAGCAGCAATAATATTTCCATTTGAAATACTTGGAATCAGATCTACGCAAAAAAATCTTTTAGAATAGTTTGCATCGTTGAAGAGTTTTTGAATAACATACTAACCATATAGCCATCTGATGTTCATCTGATAATATCAAAAGTGACTGTAATGTTTCCATTAGGATCCAAAGGGTCATAGCAATCTGCAAGCCAGGAAATCCGCAAGTAGTAAGTGAGCATTAACTATTTTTCCCATAAATTCAAATCAAAGAGGCAAAGAAAAAGAAAAGTTTGATGCCTGATAAAAAGCAAAAGGCAACTATTGATATCAACATCAGTGCAAGTGACCATACATGGGAAAGGATTGACTCCATTTTTGTTAGCAGATCAACAGGATTGAATGGATATTAGTTGTTATAAATTAAATCAGACAAGCTAAGGTATCCAGGAACTGTACTAACAAGATAAAAATGTTCTGGTTCCATCAAAAGAGATCCAATTCCTATTCCTTTGGATGGAACAAGAGTCATTGGAATTATCAACCTATGAGGACATCCATGTGAAGATACTCTCTCATGCAATGCTAAGGAAAAGAAAAGGAAGACAGTATTTTGTCTCATACAATATCTTTAGTCTAGTACACTAGCATGAGGACAGCAAAGACTCCTACAGTAATAATAATCATTGAAAATAAGTTGAAGCTATTATAAAAAAAGGGCAACTCTAGAGCTGCCAATGGCTACATGCTTGAACATTCTCCTGAATAATTCCTAAAAACCTTCACTTATGTTCATCATCTTAAAATTAATGGCACAACTGTATTAGATTTTCAGCATGACTGATGCTTCTTATGATGTACTGTCCAAAATTGTATCCGAATTGACTTAGTCGAAACTCAGCTGCATATTGTAATACTTCAAAAATGCTCTTTTGTTGATCTTAACAATGGTGAGGTGAAGTGTACATACAGGACATGAGGTTGAGATGTATGATTCTAAACCAAAACCATAACCATCCTCTCTTAGAGGAAAAGCCTAAATCCTAAACTGGAACCGTGTGCATTTGACAAAGCAATGACCATGTTTGAAGATCAACCTGAGAAGTGAGAACTGTAAAAGTTTGAGATTTGAAAAAGTTCTTACTTAAGAAAAACCAACTTCAATCATGACATCTTAACATATGGGCCACAAATGCCAATTTTTCTTTGAAAATAATGGCCATCCAGCCCTTAATTGCAGGTAGCTTTCATGTCTAATCTGAATAAATTCATCACCATCAAATACCCCTTTTATGGTTGGAACATTAGTGATGTCCATATTTCCAATATTTCCTAGATATTGAATTACCAATTGAACTTCAGTGATTCAACTAGATGCTTGTCACTAAGAAATAAGTAATCTAAACTTACCAGGATAATTAAAACTGGGATCAACTCCTGAGTTTTTGGAATCTTAAAATTCCTATCTTCAAGTTAAAAACTCAACCCTAAAACACTAACTAGGAAAATAAAACTGTGTCAAAGAAAGTCTCAGAAGGACAACTTTCCTAGTTTTCTGTGACACCATTCCATTAAGGCATTATTTCAATTGTCAAGGCAGCCGCCATTGCTGGAATCTATCACAACTCCAACAAGCTCCTTCGGCAAGAAACAGTAGAAGTTCAGTTAATAAAAACTACAATCTGTCTAAATCAATGTAGTTGAAAAGGGCTGACATGCCATTAAACAATAATTAAGTAGCACCGATATTGTGGTTCAAAGAAACCACAAGGTAAAAACTTCATGCAGATGTTTGCATACCATAGAACTGGCTAAATATAAAGAACTCAAGTACTGGAAAACAAGCCAAACCCCAAGATGGCTAGAGATGCAGGAGTAGTTGAAGATGAAGAGAATACCTACATTGGGAATAAAGTCCAGCCCTTTGCCTCTACTCCACAGCAAGTTCCAGAATTTCTTGCGACCCTTAATTTCCTATTCCATTTCTGTTCCTACCGTATATGTGCGTTGAGGGGAAGATTTATAATTTGATTAGTCAAAAAAATCTTCTCCTCCTCTCCCCTCCCCTCCATTTCCACGACCCAAATATATCAGACCTAGTTTGCCATTATTCTTCTCAAGTTTTTGTTTCTTTTTGCAGGATGGAAGGGCAGAGAACTGAGGGAAGGAGGAAGCAAAAGCCTACCAAGTTGAATGAGATTCTGGGCCTGAAAGAGATTTTCTCCTTAAAGGTTTGCATGATCCATGATGTTAGACCTATTGATACATTTTGGGCAAGTCCATTAATCTTGTAATTCTGTATGAACCAATATCAGGTCTGGAGAGCATCAATAGCTGAACTACTTGGAACTGCAGTGATGGTTTTTGCCATGGACACTATAGTCATCTCATCATACCAAACCGAGACCAAGAGTCCTCACCTGATAATTTCTGTTCTCGTAGCTATTACAGTCACAATTCTCCTTCTAGCTACATTTCCCATCTCCGGCGGCCATATCAACCCCATCATTAGCCTCGCTGCAGCTCTCACGGGCCTCATTTCGCTCTCCAGGGCAGCCGTGTACATCTTAGCACAATGTATTGGTGGCATATTGGGTACACTGGCACTGAAAGCTGTGGTAAACAGCAATATAGAGCAAACATTCTCGCTTGGAGCCTGCACCCTTACCATTATTGTACCGGGCCATGATGGGCCTCTGGAAATTGGACTCAAGACGGCCCAAGCTCTGTGGCTTGAGATTTTCTGTACCTTTATGTTACTCTTTGCATCTGTAGGGATGGCTTTTGACAGACGTCAGGCCAAAGCCCTGGGCCGAATTACAGTCTGCACCATCATCGGCATAGTAGTGGGCCTTATCGTTTTCATATCGACCACCGTTACTGCAACAAAGGGTTACGGCGGTGTTGCGATTAACCCAGCCAGATGTTTAGGCCCAGCCCTGATCAGAGGTGGACATCTATGGAGTGGGCACTGGGTCTTTTGGGTTGGGCCTGCTATTGCCTGTGTTGCATTTGCTCTGTACACAAAGGCCATTCCACACCAACTTCTCCACACTTAGGGCTGAAAATGTAGTAATCCCACATAAATATTTGTTAAGACCATCCTTACTTTAACTTGGAACATGATCCATGTATGTAAGATATGATTTCATGTATGCTTTTTATATTTTGTATAAACTTTCAATGTGTTCATGACTATGAATATTCAAGTTCCATGAATATTCATTGCCAGGGCCATCATCAGTGTATAGGCTGCATAACAGGTTGCTTATGGGCCGCCTTATTGCAGGGAGGTCGTTTATGGAAACAGCATTGGGTGTTCTGGCTCCTTCCTGTTATGCTTTGTGTATCCTACTTTCACCTTAGCTTTACCAAAGGAATGTCCAGCTTTGTCTAACTAATTTTATCATAATAAGAGTATTAGTCATTTTGAGTGATATAATGTCGAGAATTAAGTATTGTTCCATAAAAGTTGTAGAAGAATTCTAATTTTATTTAAACAATTAAAATTAAAAAAAAATTAAGTGAACTAATTAACTAAATTAATAAGAAAATAAATTGAATCAAAGTGACACCAAAATTTGAGGTTGTAAGCCATCCAATTTCACTAAAATGAACTAATATAGAATTCAAAATACTATATTTCAAACATATTTACCATTTATGTGACAAAAGAATTTATTGATCTATTTGATAAATTTTCTATAGTTATACTAAACATATTAACATTTATTAACTTATTATATTTTTATGTGAATTTAAATATA